TTGATAGCTCGAAGTGAGTCTCCGGTCCCAATTTTTTTTTCCATAAAATATATAATTAATTAGGCAAATATACTCTTGATTTCTTGAACTCTTGATCTCTCGAAACCCTTGATCCCTCGAAGTCAAAATGTAGTCCCGCTATGCATATTCTATTGAAATTTACCTTCGATACCCCGAAGTGGCTATATGTTTATCGTGGCTATTTATTTAATCAATTACTCAACCTTTCAAAATACTTTATTGTTCTTCTAATTTAAAATAGTTTCCCTGATACCGGTATTCAAAAATGCAATAATTGGTAAATTTAAAGTAATCTAAATGAAAATAAATGCTGTTGTACTTTGAAACATTAAAATTGTGAGGGTGGAAAGACCTTAAATAAATCTTAGACTACACTATATCTAAGGGCTTTTCCTTATAAACATGATCAATCACAAGTTTGCTGTTCTTGGGATGATTTTCCCTATGTATTCCAATGTGAAACATGGGGTCCATCCTACCCCGGGGGTCATGATTTGAACAAATTAATTTGAATCTACACTACCTGAGGATGCCTACAATTATAAATATGCTGTTCTCGAGAGGATTTTTATTATATATTCCAATATAAACATTTATTATACCTCTATTGATAATACTCGAATTTGATTGGCTGGTAATAAAACTTTAAAACACAACAATGACTCCATATGGTACTGTTTACAGCAATACTGACCTAGGAATCATTGCACGTGGGATATAATGACCCGGTCATTATTTTTAATGACCGCTAAAAATGACCGCTTAATCAAAAATTCGTTTTTTAGTGAAGTTGATGCAAAAAATAATAATTATTCGAAAAAAAAAACATGCTTTTTAAATTGTGCATGGTCTATTTTGCATTTCCATAGAGAATACGGTAAAATTTTATCGTTCCAATGTATAGTTTCAATAGGGACCCATGTCGTTACAATTCAGTTCAATAGAATGTAGAGGCGGCTCTTTAAAGAGTTTAATTCTCTGTTAGATTTTGACTGTGTAGAGGAAAAATAATCGTTAGTTATAACAATGTATTTCGCTATCAACCAAATATTGTTTTAATCAGTAAATCAAGATTCAAAAACTTACACGACTTGCAGACGCCAATGTAAACAACTTCATTGGTCTGTAGCGAATCCCGATCAAATAAAGAATTGATAATGGTTAGAGGTTCATACTTTTAATATATACTGACACGCAAAAGAAACGCAACTAGCAGTAATCTACAAATGTTTGATTTTTTATATCATGATTTTCAAAAGCGAATAAAGTAAGGCTTAACTCACTTTTCAGAACATCAGAGATTTGATAACAATCATAAATGTTTATCTGTTTACTTTACTTAGTAAAATATGACTGTTAAAACACCCCCTCCCAGCCATTCAAGTAAAACGCGCAAGACTGCCCTAAACAACAATTGCAGCTTAATTTCTACGATACAATAGTTTCATTAATATCGAGATCTGAGTGAAGGAATAATCCTTTGGCATTTTTAAATGCCCGTTTTTCAGATGATTAGGTCAAATTTTCTCTAATTTAGAGCAGTGTTGGACTTCCGGTACAAGGCCTTTCCTTAATGCATATGATACGTAAGACCCTGTTGAGGCGTAATGTAGTGTTATTTCGCATTAGGAACTCTCCATCACCTTTACATTGAAATTTTCCAGCTAGAGCAATGGAAATGCGTACACAAGCCATTTTTAAGTAGCCTTAGCATCTTTACGGGAAAGAAAAGGAGAGTTTATTTTATGAACTATTGCTGCATTACTTATGATGAACAGTAAAAAACCCTTAAAACTTAATAATATTGCCGAATCTTTTGTTAAACCTGCAATTTTTGATTTCTGTTAAGCAGACTCAAACTTGACTTCCGGTTATGGAATGGAAGTCGTTCAACCGTTAAATTACTGATGTTTAACAAATTGAAGATATTCATAATTTTAAGATACAAAATTCTCTACTTTACATATTTATTTCCCCCTAAAGTCGGGTGTTGCGTTTCTTTTGTGTGTCAGTATATATCGGTATAATAAAACAATTAATTTGCCCTTGTGAGTTCAACATGGTGAAATAAAGACCCTCGACCTAGCCCACTCGATGACCTCCCTTGACCTCGTGGGCCAGGTCTCGGGTCCTTATTTCACTTTATTTGACCTTACATGGGGTAATTAATTGTATATTGATGCCATATCCTGACATCGGGATTCACGATTTGATCGTACTGACAGAAAAAATTAGCAGTATTACGATCATATTATTATATACTCCGCCTGCAAAGCAGGAGGATATTTAGTGATCGGGATGTCCGTCCGTCCGTCTGTTACACTTTGGGGTATCCATCTCTTATCCGCAACTACTCGTATATATAAAAAGATGTGTTTGTGAAACAGCTATGCCCCTGTATGTCAACAAAGCGAAAATTAAACTTTTCTTAAATGCAATTTAAATATATTGGTTCCCAAAGTAGGGTCTTCTCACAAGAAATACAATTGCATAATAGGAAATTAGAAGAAAAAACTTTAAAAAACGAAATTCATTGTAAAAATACTTTAATTTAATTAGTTAAAGCTTTTATTTACTATAGTAAAATCTTTTACTCAATAGTATTTCATAACTAACGAATGTTAACTATGATATATCTTTAGAGTATGCCTCATATCGCAAATATTCAGTGAACAACATGCTTTCTCAACAAAAAAGCTATAGTTAAGTTCATCAATATAACCATTTCAACATTTATATATATTTACATAAAGCTAATACATGTAATATCATTGATGTAGATGTTTGTAGCTTTAGTTATTTGCTCATGATACCAAAAATACAAAGCTCCAAGCAGAATAAAGGTTTCGAAACAGGCATTCTGTTTATTAAATTTGTCTTTATGAATTGCAAAAGATATCTTTTACCTACATTTTTAATGGTTAAATCATCAATCAATAGCATGGATGTATAAATGGCATTAGTGTGGATCACTCTGTGAATGAAGTGCAGATTTTATAGATTGGAAACAATTCTGAAAAGTTATTTCACCTGCATCCGAAATCGACTCAAGTGATCATATTATCAAGGCACAAAGAATAGGAGAAGGAGGAGAGATTATCCCCTATTCATTTTTTCAGACAATTTTTTTTTATCTTTTAACAATTTCTACTTTGAAAATGAAACTCGTTTAATCAATCATTTTTTTTCAAAACAGTATAGTAAAAACGCCTCTCCTACTTGAGTGGAAAAGATGCACATAACATTCAGGAGCATATAATCAGAGATGGGGCCGAGTGTAATCCCTTTCCAAATTCATGAATGTAAATTTTTACTTTCTCACTTGAAAATGTTCATTGCAAGTCTAGATCTGGTTGTTCTACCGAGATGGTGGAGGTATAAAAAGAATATGTATTTGCAAAGATTTGAAATATCTTTAATCATATAGTGATAGTCTACATGTATAGGATCGAACATTTAAAGAAAATATACAGCATCGAGGCGTCCTGTCACCAATTTCTATTTTACTCACTCGTCCGAATTCGTCTGCTACAAATTTCTACTTTTTCCCAACAATTTTTTTTTCTGAAACAACGTATCAATTAGTCAGTAAAAAAAAAATATATATTCATAAATTTCATCTTAAGCGTGTGTTTGATCCATTTACATGTACAATTTTTGATTTTCTAGGTTTGCTCCTTTATCAGAGAAATGAAGATTAATTGATTGATTGTTAATTGCTTAAGGTACATTGATACTCTGATAAGAGAGATAACTCTAAATGACACAACTGTCTATTAAATTAGTCAAGGTTACGTGAATTTTTTGTCAAATTTTGCCCCGCAAGCCATGCATTAATTGTTTGAAATTTATTCAGCATATACATTTCCTTTGGAAAATCATAAAAGTAAACGAAAACTTTCATATGAGTGAGCAGAGGGTTTATGACCCTTAAAATTGATTTGTCAATATTTCGACAGAGAGAAATGAGGAACTTTATTACCCCTACGTGCTAAGAAGAAAAAGATCAAATCTATTCGAACAATGCATGAATTACTCGAAGGAAGAACAATTATAATATACAGTATATATATTTCCTTTTCACCTGTTATAAATTTTGTATCACTTTAAAGAGGTCATTTTTCAATGGGAGTCAATTTTTTATAGGACTAATATATAAAATAATGACACCTAGGACTCTTTTTCTACAAAAAAAATGACGTGGGGGTCACTTTTTGTTGTTGAAAAATGACCCCCCGGTCATTATTCGATGGGGGTCATAATTCGTCTTTACAGCCCGTCCTTAACCCTGGGCTCAAGATTTTGTACAATTTTGAATCTACATTACGTGAGGATGCTCCGAATTCCAAATAAAAATGACCAATCATGTATTTGCTGTTCCCCGGAAGAAATTTTAAAAGATTTTTCCTAAATTTCCTATGTTAGACTTTGACTGTTTATATTGAACTCGCCCTATAGCCATGTGGGTCATAATTTGAACAATTTTGGATCAACACTAATCGAAGAGAAGATACTTCTATTTAAACATTACCAATCATGATCAAGGCCTTGGTTTCTCGAGAAGATTTTAAGACTTTTCCTACACATTCCTATGCAAAATTTCGACTATCCACTGTGGCTTCGTACTTACTCCGGGGTTCATGATTTGAACAAACTTAATTCTACAATACGTTAGAATTTTTCCACATAAGTTTCATCTTCCCTATATCAGTGGTTATTGGGGAGTGAATGTTTAAGAGATGCCATTAATAAATTCATAAATTTTAATTTTTCCTTTTGGAATATGTTGTGACTCTTCATTTTAACAAATTGAATCCCCATTAGTTAAGGATACTGTGTGACATGTTCCATTGAAATAGGCCCAGTGGTTTTTCAGAAGTCGAAAGTATGAAAAATTTACATACAGATGGATAGACAAACGAAACGAAGAATTTCATCGAGCTTTCATAAAAAAGAAATCCTGTTGCGCTGTGTATTACCTGATGCATGTATCATTGGAGCACAAACCTCCACCAGGGTTTGCAGAACTGTGTTAGGCAGACAGTGGTAACGAAAATTTGATTTGTCCGTGCAGCTTTGATGAAACTGGGAGCAATTCTTGAGCTCAGCTCTTTGATTCCATTCTTGCTCATTTTTTGGACAGTTCTTAACGGTTTTCATTGTATCCAAAGACATGGGACAAAATCCAATTGCATAATTTCCCAACATCTGAAAACAATAAGGGAAACATGGATAAATGACTTGCCCGTCTTCACGTAAATATACTTGATGCTTATTTATAATCTCTCTATCTATCGATGCATAGTTACACAATGTGACATAAGCTATACAACAGTGTTGGAATAAAAAAAACAAACTGAAGATATCTGCAATATAAGGAAATAACATTTCTTTCTATTGAAGGAATGAACAAAAAACAGTAAAAACTTGAGATTTGGAGATTCTTGGTCTTCCTGTGTGTAACATTTTTGATAAATATAGCGTGATATATATAAAACGTACATGTATATTTGATTATGTGCATTCTAAATTAAGCACATTGTTATAACGTGTGAGCTGTGACACATGTTCCCTTGAAGAAATACCAGTTGATCAAGCTAGGCTGTCTTAGATCTCACAGTATGAAAACATAAATCGACCATATATTTCAATACAAATAGCCCTAGAGTCCAAAATAAACTAATGATTACACATGTTCCCAAAATGCATGACCTTAATAAATTGAATAATATTTGGCTTAAGCTTTACAGTGTCGTAGATATGATTCGTGTACATAACAAGAGGCCCACGGACCTTACAGTATCATGTTACAACTTTTCAGCAATTGAATTTGGTTCGTGTTTTAAACAAAAGGTCATGTAATTCACAATTTTGAAAGAGGTGCCGTTGTTTATCATAATAATACATTTACCATGCTTACTTTTGTTACTTAATAAAAGAGATAGATCAGAGTAACAAAGAGAGAACATTTCTACTTTATTACCACCAGTATTCCTATATTATTTTATATTCATATGAAGCAGGATTTGTGCAAAATCGTATGCGCGAAAAGAAGAAAACACTTGTGAGACCTTCAACTAGACATTTAATTAAATATATCGACGACGTATTGTCAATTAACAGTGTTCATTTCCATTCCTACGTCGATACGATATATCCTGGTGAGCTTGAGATCAAAGATACTACAGAGTCTGACACATCTGTTTCATACTTGGATATTTTAGTTGAAAAAGACGTTAATGGTAATCTAACAAATAAGCTATATGATAAATGTGATGACTTTAACGTTTCTTTACTTATGCAGCAATATACCTTCATCTCCTGCATAAGGAGATTATATATCTCAGTTGATTCGATACGCAAGAGCATGCTCTACGTATGAACAATTTCTAAAACGTGGTTAATTATTGACAACTAGGTTGATGAAACAAGAAAATCAACAGTCTCATTTAAAGTCATCTTTTCGTAAATTCTATGGTCGATACAATGACTCTCAGGCCATAAATTTCAAAATTTTGATTGAGGACTCAATGCTCATTACAAATTATATATATAAAACAGTTTGACTGCTTAATGTTCAGGAGTAAAGAAGATTTATAAACATTCCATTACTTTTAGTGGTTTTGCCACCCCCCCCCCCCCTCTCGTGCCAGTTCCCAGTTGGGAAGGGACCCTGAATTTCTCAATTCTGTTCCCCTTTACCTATAGATGCTCTGTGCCAAAATTTGTTGAAACTAGTTGACTGGCTGCAGAGAAAAAGCTGAAAATGTTTAAATGTTAATAAACGACGGACGACGCACGATGACGGGCGACATATATACATGTCGCAATAGGTCACCTTAGTGTATGATGGTGACCTGATAAACAGATAGATTTTTTATCATGTAATTAAAACCACAATGACCTAGGCCCGATGATGTAAGCTTTCCTTGTCTACGGGTTACACTTGCCTTATGCTTTTCATCATGTTCGGGTAGCTACGTAGGTCTAACAATTGCCATTGAAAGCATTTTTCGACATTCGACCAAATAAGGGATTTCATTTGCAAATATAGTCATTGTTTAAAAAAAATTGCGAAATATTGACTCCAAAGAGATTGTACACTTATATCAATGTGTATATTGTACCTTTGTATGAACTAATAACGATATCTCAAAAAGCGAGGTTTCCGGTAATACAGAAGGTTATGGTAAAAAAAATTATAATATGTTTGCACTCATTGATTTCTATCTACTTTGAAGTTTGAAATATATTTTAAATGCATTCTAAAGACAAAATGTGAAAAAAAAAGTCAGTATCATAGGTACATGTAATTTTTAGGTTTAAAAATAGATCTAAGGTAATTTTGTAGATTTACAATGTAGGTTATGGAATTTAAACGATACATTTTCAAACTTGAACTCATCGTAATCATAAATTGACAGAAAGAGAAGTGATGATGAGGACAATAAAAATACTTTTTACCCACGTTATTTTTATCACAGAGTAAGTAAGGTACATTTCTTAAGGTGATTCCACCCTCACAGTTTTATAGGTTCAAAGTACAAAAACTGCATTTATTTTCGGTAAATAAACTTTAAACTTTCCAATAATTGCAAAAATAAATAGGTCACCATATTATTTAAGATGCGAAACATTTATAAACAGAAGTGTATGTCAACATGAAGAAATCGCACATTCTTTATAAACAGTATTATGAAAAATATGTAAAAACTGGTTAAAATGCATAATTCTGATGCTGAGTGTTCCTAAATACTTCCTACTTATAAGATACTTTTGAATTGTGAATATCAGGGAAACTATTTTACAATAAAGCAATTGCAAAATGAAGAGACCGTAGAAGGAGTTATTGCCCTTGTCAACATTTTTGAAAGATTGAATAATTGATTAAATATATAGAAAATATGCATTTTTTAAATTCTTTAACTTTACAATATTTATCATTACACCTAATGTAAAGCATTCTTCCAAGAAATAGTGTTCCAATAGGTATGAATTAATACTAATTACAGTTTTTGCAAAAACCTATGACATCATAGGAGGATGGAATTACTTAAATGCAAAAAAACAGATTGCAGAGCATCCTCTGGTAAAATTTTTACCTTACAAGATATTGTTTTGATAATAACATACAAATTGAAATCTCTAAGCTTTTGAAAACTTTAATGCAGTATTTTCGTTTTACATATATGCGTTTATTATCATATAATAATTATTTTAAAAATAGTAAAAATTACATACATTTGATGTCAAATTATGGGGTTTTGGTAAATATTGAATTATGGGAATTTAATTTAATGGTTGCACAAAGTTTACTTCTCATTTACGACGTTAAAAGTCGTTTAAAGTTAGCATTTGATTATATTCTATAGTATAGTTGTAATAATGACTTCATGAACAAATATAAACTACATCCCCTTTAAACTCATTACTTATCCGCAACTCCCGCCTATAAAAAAAGAAAATAACCCTTCCTCTGCAAAAAAAAAAGTTTGACTACACAGTGTGCATCAAAAAATAAAAAAAGTAATATGTCAGAACTAAAATACATTACCAAAACTGTAAAAACAATTAAGAGCTTCTTTGATGATCTAAATTCCAGATAACTCAATGGGCAACGTGGGAAACCTGCAAAAAACCATGCATATTACTATTAATAAATATTAAAATTTTACATATACAATTCCTGGGGAAGCTCCCACTAAATTAACTTTTTTCTGGTTAAGCGCCTTTAAAAACATTTTCTTTTAAATTCTAATATACAATCCCCCCCCCCCCCCCGGTCTGTTTGTTTGTTGTTGTTTTTACGAATATGGAGACACCACCACTTGCAAATTTGATTGATGCTCGGCACTCAGGGTCATTAAGAGTAAGGGATCTTTTTCGAGCCAGCATCTCTTGTGAAACAGGACCTTGGTTTATACGGTATCATCCGGAAAAAAATCTTCAATGTATATAAGTATACAAAGTTTTGCAGATAACTTATTTTTGTTCCTTTGTTATTGTTACAAGACCAAACCAAAATCAACTGAGCTAGTTCTTTGATGGATTAAAAGAAAATGACAACGGTAATGAAAATGAAAAAAATGTCATTTATTGAAGCAAACGACGCAAAACAAAAATACGCATATTAAGGTTGTCAAGAGAGACAAAGAAATCTTTTAAAGAGACAAAAACCGTTGGTAACACATATTATGCAATCTGACTCCCTAAAATTAAACATAGCATACAGCAGGCACTGATATACCTGCCATCAAAAAAGGCTAGGATACAAGAACATAAATGCCAGTGGAGGGAAAGTGATGGATGGAGGGTTTTTTCGAAAAAAATTTGCATTGCAGTTTAGCGTAGCTTTCCCCTTTGGTAAAATAATCGATCTTGAATTCTGTTTATTATCTCCATATGTTTAATTGAAATAACAAACAGTATTAAAGTTCAAAAGTACTTTCAAACAATAAGAAGAGGCCCATAGGCCACATCGCTCACCTGAGCACTTTGGCTAGGAAAAAAGTAGAAATTGGTTTATTATTGAAAAGATTAAATCCTAAAGTAAACCTTTGATCAGTTATGGGGTTTTGCTATTCTTGAGAAGATGATTTTTAAAGAATTTTTCTATATATTTCTTTGTAAAACTTTGGTCGGAAATTGTGGCCCCGCCCTACCCCTGGGGTTATGATTTGAACTTGAATCTACACTACCTGAGGATGTTTCCATATAAATATGATCAATTATGGGTTTGTTATTCTTGAGAAGAAGATTTTAAAAGAATTTTCCTATATATTTCTAAGTAAAACTTTGATCGGCCATTGTGGCCCCGCCCTTCCCCCGGGGGTCATGATTTGTACAAACTTGAATCCAAACTACATGAGGATGCTTCCATATAAATATGATCAATTATAGCTTTGTAATTCTTGAGAAGATTTTCAAAAAAATTCCTATACATTTCTAAGTAAAACTTTGGTCGGCCATTGTGGCCCCTCCCTACCCCCGGGGGTCATGATTTGAACATACTTGAATCTACACTACCTGAGGATGCTTCCATATAAATATGATTAATTATGGCTTTGTTATTCCTGATCATGAGAAGAAGATTTTAAAAGAAATTTACCTATATATTTCTATGTAAAACTTTGGTCGGCCATTGTGGCCCCGCCCTACTCCCAGGGGTCATGATTTGA